GATGTTAATCAATTATCAATCAACTTTAATTTATTGTAATTTAAAGTTGATGGAAAGCTGTGAAGTGTTTAAAGCTTTCGGTCTACTTCGATTATTCAACGTCTGATTTTAGCTTCAAATATCGTGTAAAGTTATAAATCTTAACACGAACATTTTTTCTCGAAGAAAGTATTTGACAATCAAGGATTGCTTCGGTTTTTTTATAATGTGAAAGCCATTTTGAAGAGCGAAATGTGTGTAAAGTACCTCTATGAACTCTTATATAAACGTATTAAGTAAGAATGCTTCTATATTTGAATCCAAAAAAACTCCATCACATAATCAAATACGGTCAACTTTTGCATAGTTATGAAAACGTATGTATTTGTCTTTTAAGCAATACATTTCAGTCATTTAAGATGGCATTCTTAAATGAATGTGTGGTGTTCGTTTGTAAAGAGCACCATTGCTCTACACAAGAATTACTGCTTTGAATGCTGAACTCGTTTATTTCTTTCTAAGAAGAGAAAAGTAAAAACTCTGTGAGTTAGAAAAATGTAACGTGTCATCATTATTCCAAACAATCACCGATATGGTCCATGTATATTTCGTACTCAAATATGGGTTTGGACATGTAGAACAGATTTGTTTTACTAAGAAGAACGGGTAGTGCAAACACTATACAAGTTTTCCGGTCGCTATCCCGAATAGGTTGACCAATAGGTTGTGTTTTGTGTCTGTGTCTCAACTGACAAGAGACATGTTTTGCGACCATTATAGTCGTCTGGCCGGTGAATATACCGATTGTGTCCTATTCACTGTCGTTTCCACTTCGATTTGCACGGTGGTTTGGACATCCACATTATGAGACGTTTAACTAGTCTACGCACTTGGTCTCGTTTGGAGTTACTTCAATTTACTCAGGGTTGTTTTTTTTAGTTTAGATTGTATATTTATAATGAATTTACTATTTTGAACATCGGTAAATTCGTGTTTCATCTCTTCAACACATCTATGATTTAATTTGCCTTTTTTGAATCATGCTTGGCAAATTTACAACAACAACAAAAAACTCACGCAGGAGCAGTTATTTATTCTTTTTTTTATAAAAAAACCATTCAATTATTCTTTAATTTTGTATGTAGTGTTTTCTAGACTGTTGTTGGTCTTTTCGACGTTTTTTTTTTGTCATGGGTAAGTCGGTCGCTCTTCGGCTTTTTAGTTTTGATTGTCCTTTTGTATCTTCTGCCTCTTTTTACAATTCGATTTTTTTCTATTGTAATACTCTATAAATCATTCATATTTTTTTCAAATGAATAATATAGATCAAAGCCTGATAAGACGATTGTTTAATTCGCTTATATCCTTCTTTACTTTTCTATGATTTCCATGCAAGTGTAAATCTTTTGTTAAAGGGAAAATATATTTACTTTTATCATTTACTCTAGACAAATATATGTTATCGGCTTTAAGTTAACTTTTGTAAATGGCACAGTTGTATCATATATCAGTGGACTTTTATTTTTCTTGGGTATCATTTTCCCAGTAATGCTTCAGTTTGTGGCTTGATTTCAATGATACCTTTAGTCTGTAAAGGTCCAGTTCATAATAGTTTGCAATTATTATAACGTGTCATTTTCATGTTTTACAGCACCTGGTCGATTCCTCTGCTGGTGGACTATCATCAGCTCAGTAGTCAGTATTTTGATAATGATATGAATTATTACAAACTTTTCTAAAATTGTCCGTTTATAAATTTTTGAATTATAAAGGAACTAAGGTTTCAACTCCTTCGGTCAAAGTTGATCTTAGATGGATTTGGCTGTTTTATTAGGTCCTTTTTGGTCATATAGCTCTTCAACTGTTTCGGTTCTTATATATCCTAGGCTTTCAAATTTTCGGCTTTGAGCGTTCTTGATGGAGCTAAATCCAGAAAAGTGCTTCGAACGCACGAAATTTAAAACGTGTTGTTTTCATTTTTTATAAAAACAAAGATTGCAACTTCCTCAAGCAAAGTTGACCATATTCATCCCTTCTATTTAGGAACTTTTTCTTTTAAAGTTATTATATGTGTGGCTTTCTAAACTTTGACCTCGAGCATACTCGATCAAGGTTATTCTAGAAACATGTGTTTTAATTCACGATAATCATACAATTCGGGTTTTTTATTCGGAATCTGAATATGTTCACGGATGTTTATTGTCATATCCACATATCTGTCTTCCTTTTCTTGATTATTAACGATTATCAAGAGAGCATTGATTCCGGAATTTATCTTGTCTTGAGCAACACGACGGAGCTATTATTGGAGCTGATACTGCTTCCCTTCCCAAGCACATAATTTCACCCCTAGGGTTCTTATAAATGTATGTATGGTTTCTATCGGTCATATCTTTATCCTGGAAAACTCCGTATTTGAGTTCAAACTTTGAAGAACTTACAAATAAGGGTTTGTACATTTGTCAGTATATGAGGATAAGAATAGAAAAATCGTCTAATTCGTTTTGTTATAAACCCATCGACTACGAAATACTGATTTTAACAAAAATAACGCACTAGTATTACTACTGAAACGGAAACATTAATGCAGGGTACTCAGATTCACGTACGTTCTTAACTTGGTTCCTGAACTAAACCTTTAGTTTTCGGCTTAGTATTTTGTCGACTGCAGTTTGCATTTTTGTCTTATTTTTTTGTCCATGGTGTGGTCTGTCGTTCTTCTATTTATAATTTTGGTTGCCCATTGGTGTCTTCATACTTTTTTTTTTAAAATCGTTTGAACTTTTCTGTCAGTTTGCCTAACGCGTTTTTTAATCATTGGTTTATTATTTTGGAATCTGGTAATATTGCCTGACTAATGATTTGACAACATGTTTTATCGAAGTCTCATAATCCATTTTCCAGATTAAAGTTTCCTTACTTTAACGTAGACGTCCTTGGTTTTCCTTTGTCAGCTCACATCACAAAATTATCAGCGTTCATGTAACGAAAATCAGAGGTGGACATAGTATGTAACATATGTAACCTTTAAGTTTATGGCAGGAAACTTCTCCCTTTTTATAGTATTAGTAATGGCAAATTCAAACAAACAATTGAACAAAGTAGGAACCCTGACAACAGTTGTTTAGTTGGTTTTAAATGTTGTATGCTATCTTTCCTTTTACATATTATATTTTTTGGCAGCTCTTTGGCAGTTTCTCTTGAATTCATTCACAATTTGTCCAGACTCGCTCGAATAACAGCTTTACAATACATTGTCTTCTTTAGGAGGGTATTGTCTCCTTAAAATCAACCTTTTTAATTAAATATTCTACAGCAAATTTTTGCTTGTATATAATCAAAGAAGTGTTCGCGCAAAATAAATGCATTATACACAAAATACGTTTTACTTACTATTTGGTAGATATATCAAGTGTCGAAGATTTTTGTATTTACATTGAAAGAATAGCTTTGATTTTAGTTCTTAGTACATCAATTTCAAATATACAAAATTGCTGTTTAGGGAATGAAGAGACAAAATATTCACGTAGTTATAATGATGTTCATTGAGGTGTCAGTTTCTCTTACATTTCTATCAATCTCACATTAATCGAGTTTGTGGAATAAAACTATGCTTTTACTTTAGGGAAAATATTCAACCATCTATACGTGAATTCATCTTGATATATATTCTAAAACGTTAACAAGAAAATGGAAATTCGTGATCAAATCGCATTAATTTGCATACTTTTTATGATAGAAATACATGAGAACAATTTTGGTGTATTCCCATGAAGATGTATTTCTTCAAAACTAATCTCAAGATACAAATCGTTTGAGAAGATTAAAAAACGAAAGAGACATAGAAAGAACCGGAAGTCCAAGTTCAACCTTGCTGATTAAGTTTCCTTATTTTTTATTTATAAGTTGATGGTTCACAATCATAAAGTCATGCTACTGCAAAAACACTTGCTCTGGCTACTGGGCGATTGATATTTTCATTGACGGAATTACCAGCAGCAGCGTTATTCATTTGGTCGTTGTTTTCACATATGCTAACAATTCAATACATTCAATGCTTATTTCAGGAAGATCTTCATTTGGAACGGTCAAAAGTGTAACATTAACGTTTTCAATTAACGAATAAGCGACTGTAACTTTAGTCTATTTTATTTTGCATAAATCAGGAGATGTCATTCAGGTTGATGTAAGCTGGGGAATTCCTATTGATTGTCATTCCTTTGGTTTTTGTTTTAGAAACAATCATCAATATATTCCTTTTAATCCCTCCGTATCGTGTTTACATGCATAATGCTTTCAGGACTATACTTTTGATGAATAGGAAATTATTCTTTATCTGATTGAGATATTAAGATTAAATATAAACAAATGTCTTCATATCTACTCTTAGAATACACAATTGCATTGCAAGTGTAAAACGGTGTCTCTTATTTGGTACATAACAGACAACTATCCCCCAGAGACCAAAGGACCAGGATGTAAACAACCATAGAGCATCGTATTAAACGTGTTTCTGTCAACTGAAATACAGAAAAACAAGATTAAACGAAAATTGATGCAAATATAGTGCACAACTTATAAGTGCAATAAAGCCATAGACTGATACTATCATTTAACTTGCATGTTCCTTCTTGAAAACAGAAAACAATGATTTTTTTGTAAAACTCTTGATCGTTTTTTAGTTGGATGCAAACAAACATGTAAAGAATATTCCCTTTATTTAAAATATATACTACAATCGTTCTTATTATATTTTTTCAAACGTTCCTTTTTTGTGACAGTACCGTTCATGTTCGTGCTGCTCAGTCTTATAATAGTTATCTTGTGTAGGTTTTTAATGACTTGTTTTTTTCGTCGTTTTTCCTTTTTTACCATGGCCATGTCAGTTTTACATCGATTGAGTTTTGAACATTTTATAAGGGACTTTCCGTTTTGAATCTTCCTTGGAGTTTGGTATTTTTGTTATTTTTCTGATTATCTCTTTGATATTCATTTGTTTTACATACCAATTTTAGATAATAATGATTCAAACAAAATCTGTATATTTTCAGCTAGAACCAATCAGACAGTCCTTTTGTGGTTCCCTTAGACGAGATGCGCACTGGAAATGTTTGATTCTGACTGTGTTGATGTTCGGATGTCTCATAGCAATAGTGTATTGTAGACTGGCTACCGTAACTACTTTTGTTGTCAACTTTTATACTGCTTACATACCGGATACCAGAACAAAACAGACTAGCCCATGTGACGCTGGTTATATTTACATCCCCGTGGCTTTTGTTATCATGCTTTACTTTGTATATTTGGTCGAGTGCTATCATTGTCACACTAGAATCGAATTACAATATAAAGTGGATGTTAACACTGTTTATGACAAGATAAATAGTATGAGAGATGCCGTTCCGATTTTGTGGTGGAAAGCTCTCTGTTATCATTATGTTAGGAAGACACGACACATAACCCGATACAGAAATGGAGATTCCTATACAAGTACCCAGGTCTATTATGAGAGAGTAAACACTCACACAGCTGGTTCTGCTTTTAATTTCTCACGGTGTGGTGTAAAAGATATTTCACCAGTTTTGTCAAAATTAGAAACATATCCTGCAACGAAAATAAGGTTGTCTAAAGGATACTCTTATACATGTTCTGAATCAGAACATGAATTCGACGAACAAAGGAGTCGGTTTTTCAACGACAACGAAAGACGAGATGATTTTATGGAAACGCGTGAAGGAATGGATTTATTGAATGTCAATTTTAGGGAATATATGATAGCTTTTTCCGATCCAGACAATCTTCCTTGGTACGCGTCACAAGTTTTATTTTGGATCGCATCGATTTTGCTATTATCTTGGCCACTTCGTGTTGTAATTGAGTACAAAACGGCTTATATACATTATCATGTTCATAAATTGTTTGGTACACATTACATAGATCCAGTTACAACAACAGGTCGAATGACTCGAGTTAATACCATGGGAAGTGTAGAACTAGAACAGACTATACAGAAAAACTATGCAATGATACCAAGTTATTCCGAAGCCTTATTGATAGCACCAGACATGTCTTATGATATTAACAATTCACAATATAAAAGAACTCCTCGAAGTTTAACATTTACTTCTTTGTCTGCCTTATCGAAGACAGATAAAGTTGATGAAAATCTGTCTGATACGTCTCCTTTTATAAAACGATGCAAGAGTTATTCTATTGTAAACAAAGGCCTTGTTTTACAAAACTGTATGCATATGGATTCAAACTATGCAACTTTTAGTTCGAGTACTTCAAGATATAAGCCTCGACGAATGTTTACATTATTTCGGAGGGACGACGGTACACAGAGTAATATTTCCTCGCCGCAATCACCGCAAGATTTTTTTGTCCGAATAAACCCAGCGACTTCTACAGCTCGGTTGACACGAACAAGTAATAACAACAATTTCTACAGGTCAACATCAAGCATATCTGAATTACCTGTCAATATTTCGCTTCCGGAACCGCCACCATACAATGAAGCATTAGTGATGACTCGTCCTCTGCCAAAAGTGAAACCTCCTTTACATGAAACGGATAGACAGCTAACACCCCAGTCTGAAAGCGTACCGTACTTAACAATTATGGAAACATCTCTTTGATTTTTATATAAATATTTTATATTTTTTTAATCCCGTGCCAAATTAGATTTTATTTGACGTTTGTTATGCAAACATGATAACATTGTTTAATAATATTTTATACATGTTAATATATTTAATACTGTCACTCTCTGTCTCTCTTTCTCATGGATTGCACAGAGATTCAATTATGAAAACCAACTCAGAAAATCACTTCGAAAGTGGTAAATTCAAACGAATCAGACCATTTATTGTGGATATGATTATATTTGTATATGTTATCAATTTCTCAATCAGACATACATGTTGCTATTCTCTCCATCTGTGAAAGTTCATCCATTACAGTTTTTGTTGAATTTTACCTTTTCGGTTCTCTTTGGAAATGTCTTTATTTCGGTTGCCAAAGAATGAATACTTAGCCCGTTTTATGAAATTAAAAATCAGACAGAAGGAGCCCTCAAATGGAATGAATTACATGTTGTTTTAAGTTATTGGTTTAACAAAGTTAACTATATATTCCGCATCGGTGTAAACATAATGAAATGTAGTATTATTGCTAATCAGACACAACTCTACCAGAGTCTAAATGACTTGGATGTAAGCAACTATATGTCAGCGTGCGGCCTTCAACAATGAGCAAAACTCATACCATACAGTAAGCTATAAAAAGTCCGGACATAACAAAATGTGAAACAATTAATTAGTGTGTTCGTTATTAATATAAAATAAGAAGATGTGGCATGATTGCCATTGAGAAAACACTCCACCAGAGACCAAATGATGTAGAACCGGGTTTATGAACAAAACAACAAACGAAAAATGAATATTAGTTTGTTTAATTAACGTATAATATACTAGTAGGGCGCACGGCACCTTTTTGCAGACTTTAAATTTATATCAAATAATCAACCAGTCAGTGAATTATGATTCCTTGATTGTTGATTGGTTGCTAAAAGTCCAGTGGCAAATATTTCATGCTTGTTCAGAATTAGTTAGATTTTGAAATTTTCCAAAGTTTATATGTTAAAAGGGGCTTTTGTAAAAATTATTATCATGAGATCGAGCGGGCTGAGTTGCCTAAAATGCCTCAAGATACTAGTATTGAAAAAGCGAGGCGAAGGATACCAAAGGGGCACTGACACACATAAGTCGAAAACAAACTGACAACGAATTGACAAAAAACGAAAAACGACCAAAGGACAAACAACAGTATACAGAAAACAACATAATAAACTAAAGACTGAGCAACAAGAACCCCAAAAAAAAACAGGGTTGATCTCATGTACTCCGGAAAGGTAAGTAGATCCTTGCAAAAGTACATTTGATTTTTTTAATTTCAGCATACCTGAAAGCCTTTTTGAAGGTAGTTGAAATTTCCTTTCAGTGTATACATGTTTTGGTATGAACATCCAATATAAGTGTTATACTTGGCCCTATCTGACAACTTGATTCCGGTCCACAATTTGGAGCGTTTCTTGGTGCTTCATAAATATAGCAATATCAAACACTATATCAATACCATATCAATCAGGCGCTCGCCCACATCCCTATCTTTGCTTATTGCTTGTTCGTCTGCTTTATATAGCAAATGGCACAAATGATGTAATATGTTGGCATACTTTCAAACACACTTCAATTCAATACAGAAATCTTTAGTTTGGTCTGGTATATATTGGAAAAGATTAAAATGTTCAGATCAGCCTTCACAGAAAATACATAGATTTCCGAAAAGATAAAATAAGACGGCAATATATCATAAATGACAGCTACAATTACAATAATATATCAATATTAATTGCAGATTTCTTTATTGAAGATATAACTAATATCATTGATTAAGTGGTTCATCAGCCTTAATGAATACTTTGGAGACTATTAGTCTAGTATCGGAAAAACAGCGAAATGAGTGTGTTTATCCTGTTATGGTATTGAATTTTAATGTTATCCTTTTTATAAATATTTTAGTATTATAAAGTTTTTTTCTAAATTTATCTGTGTATTAGCAGGATAGAAAGTTTCAAAACCTTATCATTTCCAATAGTATTCAGTTAGCAGCCATTTGATTTTCTGGACAAGGATTTTATCTCAAATCATTGAAATTTTTGTCACATCACATTTAAGTTAAGAGAAAGAATGACCTTGCGCATTGCCCAACTATAAGTATCGATGTAGGACCATAAGTGTTCATAACTTTATGCATTTAGTTATGTTGTATTTTATTAAATTCATTAGCACCGATGAAGATAATCTTAAAACTTAGCTAATTATGATTTCATGGTTCATCTAGCAAGCAAGCAAACCAAAGATACTACCTTTACCTACACACTCAAGTCTATGTGCTGTAAATAGTATATAGACAGATTTTACTGACTTTGGCCATAACCTATGATTCTTAACAAGACAAAAATCAATACGAAAAACAAGTCTGCATACAATTAATGTATGACTATTAATAAAATCGTGCCCTTGAAAATTTCTTAAACTGAGTTTACACTGTCGACGCGCAAGGTCGCTCCTTTTGGAGTTCATGCGATTTACACAATTTTTGTTTTTTACCTTGATTTGTATCGTAATAATCGATTTATTAGATTTTAACATCGGTTGTTGTTGCCTAAGTTTACAAACTTGTCACTATCTTTAATGTCTTCAAACATCGTGATTCTCGACAATAAAGTATATTTAACCGAAAAGAACAAGAAATTAACAATATTAAAAACAGTTAATTCTCGTTCTCAAATCAAAAACAAATTGTGGCTCATACTAAAATATATCTGATTATAATAGTATTTATTTAATACTGGCAGAGACTACTAATGTTCTCACTCGTAATTAATCCATATTTCCCTAAATAATATGGACTTGTCTTGTCTGCGCTATTTGCGACCATGGAAGACCTATCGCAGCAAAATCTGGTTACCCGAAATTTTAGCTCGAAAATGCTTAGAAACATTAAAGAATAATATTTTTTGTGAGAAGTAGAAATGGGCTACATGGTTGAATAAAATATATCTGTCAGTTCCAACCCAATTCTTTATTAACCTGGATATTGTTATTTTCAGATAGACTAAAATAATTGTTGAGCCATGTTTGTCATTAATCCTCATGCTAAACCATTGTGCTTTTAGCATCTTGAACATGTATATACTCCTCGTGAAGACAGAAATATATAACAAAAGACAGCTGTTGGAAAGTGCCGATCAATTACTTAGACAAAGGCATCTTAATAACAATTTATTTTAATCAGCTTAATGTATCTTCCTTGTATCGTGTCTTCCCATTACTTTTTATTAACGTACAAAATGTCCCTAATGGAATTCTAAGCTTCTTATACATAATATGTATAGATTATAGCCAACACAAGAATGGGATTATAAACTTGACTCTGATAGTAATTAACTACTAATTTATGAGGGGAATGGTTGGTATCAACGTTTGATACTGAATTTGGTGCACACAACACGTGTGTCTGGTATAACCGCGAAAATAATCGTCTGGTACGCCAGGAACTAAAGGTTTGTGAATCTAAGCTAGCAATTCAAAGTTAGACTTGTAGTTGCACATTTCGACCCTAATGTATTTCCGAAAATATGAGAATAACAATGCAATAAAATTCCTTCCTAGATAGAAGAGGAATGATAAAACCTTCAAAATGGGTCTATATGAACATCAAGGTTGTTTTATGTGTACTTAATTGGATCGAAATTCTACTTTTGACCATATTTTGATGACATTGTAACATTTTCATGCCACTTTTAGTAATATGTTATGGCAAATAAATGCAAAATGGTGCCATGAACACATAGAAAAGAGATTATATATTTCACAACATTAACTGTTGGAAATCAAAGCAATGAAATATATTAAAAAAAAATATTATTACAAACATATGCACACGAAACACAATTAAGCTCTAATTGTTAGAAAGTCAGGGAAAAGGATGGTTAACATTATAAAGATTAGTACTAACTAAGTACATACAACCTTTCAAAAAATAATAAGAGGTTAAACAAAACAGCCAAAATCATCGAAGGTCCACTTAAGCTTTTGTACATTACATACATTATGTATTACTGAAATTTTACATTTGTTTATATAAGTATTTAGGCATCTTTGTTTTACAAAACATACCCCAATGAATTGGTCTTTATCAATTTGACCATGACAATAATGAAACAAGTCGACTTGTTTACTCGAGAATATCATTTACAACTTATAAATTATTTCCAGATGCCGTGAATTATATTGCGAAGATTGCCAGATTCCAAGCTATTCACAAAAAGTAACTTTTCTTAAGATGCCGCTCATTTAGTACCAATATATATCGAGGGCTACAAATTTCTTAGTAAAAGTAAAATATAAATGACTTTGAATTAGTAAAGATTTTTCTCAGACATTTCAAAATGGATAAAGGCATCAATGATTTGTATAAGGTCACAGAAACTTCATGTTGGCTCAGAGACGTTAGAATCCAATCCATCCAATCCATCCGAATGATTTGAGTCTTCTCTAAAAATTATTCCTATTCGTGAGGTTTTCAGATGGTTCGACTGCATCAATCATAATGGCATGGTTCCTTTGGATCTTTCTGTTGGTCAAAGTAGTAATTTTTTTCACATCATTCACAATATATTCGGTAAACAACGGTGCATTTGATATCAAACGGAAACCAAAGCAATCGTCTTTGACAAAACAGCTCAGTTACAGCAAACCATAAATATAGATATTTGACACGTACTGTTAAGTTGTTTTATATACGAGCGACCCAGCCCCGTGTTTAATACCATAATTGTTTGATATTTTTAATATAAAAATTCTATTGGCTTGATTTGTCCTCTTTACACCAACTAACACATGATATCATACCAATGTTGTTTTCATTTTCGTGCCACTGCATGGCTATTCCAACTTAAACATTTGTTAAGCATTTACATCAATACTGCTATGGTGAAATAGCTTGCATCGGGTGATTGTGTACCTTAAATTTACCGGGATACCCTCTCTGATCCCTTCTTTTGAATTTTAATTTCAACGCACGATTATTTTTCGAAATACT